CTATTAACTTTTTCATTGGTTTAAACATTAGACAAAGTTCATAGGGCATATTCGTCAACCCAGAAGCCAACACGAAGACATTACTTGCTAAATTCAGAATGATGGGTGACTCAAAGGTCAAAGTTCCAATGGCATTCGGAATGAAACTTACTTCTTCCTTGGACAAGCCAACAACTGATATCACTCTAAATCGATAGATGATTGGGTCTTTAATGTAGCTAACATCAAGTCATCTAGATATTATGTTTGTTGTTTGTTATTGTGCCAGGTTTCAGGCAAATCCACATGAACCTCAGATGATTGCTGTGAAGAATATATTATGATGCCTCAAAAGAAAAACATCTCTCGAAATTTGGTATCCTTTTAACTTCGAATTCTTTGTGCAAGCATATTCCGATGCTGATCTTAGTGGATGTGGACTCGATCATAAAATCACTTCTGGGGGTTGTCAGTTTCTAGATGACAAACTAGTTAGTTGGCAATCTAAAATGCAAACATGTGTCTGACTATCTACTATAGAAGCTGAACACATAGTAGCTGCATCGTGAACTTCGCAAGTTATATGGATTCAGAATCAGCTTAGAAATTAAGGTATCAACATGAAAAGAATTCCACTATACTGTGATTCAGAAATCGCAATCACAATCTGCCATAATCCAGTGCAATACTCAAAGATGAAACAAATTGCATTGAGATATCATTTTATAAAGGATCATGTAGAGGGTGGAAACATTGAAGTACACTTTGTTAGATCCTCTGATCAACTGGTTGATATCTTCACTAAGGCCATACCTGAAACGACGTTCAATCAAATTTTACAAGGGCTAGGCATAATGAAGCAGACTCAGTTTCAAAATCCCCTTCGTAATCGGAATCTACTATTCATGTTTCGAATGGTTCCGAGTTTCGGAATGGTTCGGAATTCATTTTCATAATGCTGATTGGTTCCGAGCTTCGGAATTGTTCAGAATTTACTATTCATCAAGGTTTCGGAAATCTTATGTATCCTTTATATATTAAGTGTCTTCCAACTGGTTCCGAGCTTCAGAATAATTCGAAAGTTACTGTTCGTTTGTGTTTCTAAATTTATATTATCTTTGTATTCTTCTGTTTTTTTTTTCAGAAAACAAAAAATCACAAAAATATTTTCTTTATTTATGTTTTATCTTTTTTAGAAAATAAAAATTTTACAAAATATTTTCTTCTGTTTTTAGTGTGAATACGTTCTTTTCTTAGGTACAAATTGTTTGTTACTTCAATTCAGAACGATGAGGTAGGTATAATTCCAACTTTATGTACTAGCTAAGTGTCCCTACAAGCATGTTGCTATATGTTGACACAAGCCTCTTAAATTCTATGTCTGAGGCCTTAATGAAACTTTCATTCTGATCATTTCTTTCCAATCAGGCTATTTATTCACATAAAGTCATCAAGCTACCTTACTCTTCTCACATTGAGTTAATAGTTGATTGTTTTATCATTTATTTATAACAAAGGTACACTTTCTTCTTTGGAACCAATCTACAACTTCTCCATCAAATTTCATGCTCATAAACATAACCCTTGAGACTCTCAGCAATTGCCACTAAGATTTATGGGTTCATGATCTTAAAAATCATTATCAACATGATTTTAAGAGAAACCCAAAATCTGAAACCATTTTTTGAATTGACGTTGAACGATCAAATGTCCTAGATTTTTTTCACCAAGGAATTGATGCACACAACCTTTTTGGTTTCTACCACTACAAGTATGAAATCTCATTTTTCTTTTTGAGTGGTCTTAGTGAAATGTTCTAGACCTAAGACATTTCTTCCCAACAAAATCCAATTTTATTTTTCTGAGATTTTCATCATATATAGCCACTTAAATTATATCCAAACCTTACATGTTACACTGGTCAAACAAGTACTTCTTCCAGATCTTCTAATTTATGTTGAGTTTTGGAATTCGGTTTAAGCTTAAGCCACCCTTGCAGCCTATTTAAAAGAAGCCTTTCACTATTTCTTAATAAATAGGTGATCGTAATTCAACGGGATCCATCTGAATTTCATGTCAATTTTATTTGATATTACATAATCCCATAAATATAATTTGATTTATTTCTTTTTCTTTGGCACACTCTTGCACAAAACTCTTTATGATTTTTCCAAGTCTGGTTCTAATTCTGGTTGATTACTTTTAATTTAGAGAACATGTTTTCATGGATTGGTTGTTAATTCCACTAAGACGAGACTAAAAAAGTGGTTTATTGGCAATAAGGATTTAAATCAAGCGTATCTTTTCAAATCCATGACATCACGCATGTTAGTTACACGACGTCTGGCATATGATGAGCTGTCACAGAATCCCAAGCTACTTTTACAGGATATGTGAACATCAAGCAGTGGATTTCTCTCACCACTTATCACTGACGTTTATAAGGGTTTTCAACGGTTTGTTTTCTCTCACCGCTCACACAATTTTCAAAACCCTCCAAGTTAAAACCCATTTTCTCTCTACTGGTCATCCTCTTCCTCATAGCTACAATGGAAGGATCATCTGAAACTACTTCATTCGCTGATCAATCAACATTTGTGATCATGCTGAACACCAAGCCAAGTTAATCTCATACTCGATCTTGACTCTTCTCGTTACCAAGAAGTCCTAAGGTTGATGATTGAATGCTTAAGGTTCTCGCTACTGGATCAAGCTCTAACCATGGTAGAAGCTATTCATTTGGTCCATCTTTCTAAGGCGTTTTCTTCTACCACTTACATTCAAGCTAATGAAATCATTACCTTCAAGGTAGCCTCTAACAAGACCTCGATCAACAAAGCCCATTTCTATAGAATTCTAGGGATTGCTTCATCTAGATGACTCATCGATCCAAAATCAATTTACACTACTGCACTCATCGAGATATTTCACCAGATGAGGTACATTGGTGATACATCCTTTATATCAAAATTTAGGAACCCCTTTCTTCCTCCAATATGGAATGGGCTCTTCAATCTTTTGTTCAAGAGATTTTCTGAATGAGTTGCTGGATCTGACAATGCAAGTAAGCTTTTCTACAACATTATTTATGGCCTGTTCCATGGAATCAATCTCGATTATGGATCGATTTTGTGGACTCAACTTATTTAGAGTATTGCTTCCACCACTCGCAATATCAAGATCTCATGTGCTTGATTATGGTCCTTAATAGTCAAACGAGCCCTAAACCACTTTAAGGTTCAACCGATAACTGATTTTGTTGTAGTTGCAATTCCTATTCTTTAGAATTCAACCTTCGTGATGTCTGACCCAAGCAAGTTCACTTTTGTGGGTTCAATTCTGGAAGCAATTTCGGGAAAAGTCCATTTTGATGCGATTGTGAGCAAGTATCGCAAGCAGCCTACATCTGGTGTTCGCTCCATGTTAGATGAACTAAGAAAGGCTATCGAGGAAGAAAACAAACCGAAGAGGGGAGGAAGGAGAAAAGTGAAAGCTGCCCCTTCTAAAGTGGTGAAAACTCCAAAAAAAAAGGTCAAAAAGCAGGCAAGGAAACCAAGATCACCATCTATGGTTGTTCAGGAGGCTTTGGAATCCAGAACTCATACTAACATTCAGGATGATGCTTTTATCCAATACGAGGTGGATGACACAACATCCACTTCAAAACCAAATCCAACTGAACCAAATCCGAAGGGATCCACTCCACCATTCTCTCCGATTACCGCTACCATTCCTATTACTTTCATTCCTACACTACCACCAAATATTTCTATGGGCATTTCTCTTTCACATATCTCCATTCCTCTTTCCACACCCATTTTTACCGACTCCAGTGTTCTTCCTACTTCTACAATCATAAGTACACCATAAGTCACTGTCACCAAGTCCATTGCAGAGGAGGTACACACTTCAGGTATTCATGTCAACGTATCTGATATAGTGGCACATGCCAGCATTGGTGTGTCTAAGGAACAGGCTACATCTACAACTTCTCCCACCTTCGATTCTGATCCTGATATTCTCTTTGGGATGATCAAGAAAACATCACAAACTTTATTTTCAGCCGTTTCACCATCAACCAAACCAGTGATGATGATGAAGCCCCGATGACAAGAGGGCAATTTAAACAACTTAATGAGATGTTGGATTCTCTATTAGAGTCTTCCAAATCCTCATCTAACTATGAGTAGATGCTAAAATCCCATCAAAGTACTGTTGAGATGCTAACAAAGGCAAATGTGAAAGTCCTTGAAGACTCGACTAAGGCAATTCAAGATTCAGAGAAAACAATTTCAAAAACGACCGCAAGAGTAAAAAAAAAAACTACACCAAGACATTACATCATTTATGGATGAGTTCAGAACCTCTGCTAACCTCAAACACTGAAGCCATGAACAAAGTCATTGCAGGGTTTCGGACTTCCTTACAGGCTGAAAAGGAGGCTCTTTCCCTTGTCCATTCTGAGATCAAGCAAGATAACACCAAAATGAATGCATCTGTTGTGTCAAAGATTGAAAAGCTTTAACAAGACCTTGCTGCAGAAAATAATATCATGGATAAATTGGCTGCACAGACTGAGAAAGGCAAAGTTTTTTTCGGTAAAGCTGCATTCTCCAAACAAGCGTCTTGATGAGTTGGAATCTGTGAGGACAGTGGTTAAAAGTTATGTCTATGAGATTAATCAATACCTTCTCAGACTTTTGGAGACTCGTGACTCTTTACCCACAGTCTCAGTCCGACAACACCTTTCTTACAAACTTAAACCAGCCTTTGCGACACTGAATCAGATTGATGGTGTTTCGGGTAGCGATGCTCTTCCGAAACAAGGGGGAGACAAAGCAGATTCAGAAAAACCTCCACAAGGAAGAACCCTAAACAAAGCATGAACGAAACCAAATACTGATGCTAAGAAGGGTAATGAAGCTTCTAAATCAAGTAAAGGTAAAGAGAATGTATTAGATGAAGAAAAAGAAGAAGAAGAAGAAGAAGAAGAAGTAGAGCTTTCTGAAGGTAAAAAGATTATGAGAAAGAAGCGTAATAGGGAACTCGATGATCTTTTGCATATTAGAAAAGAGTTAGAAGATCAAGTAAAGGAAGCCAAAATTGCCAAAGTCACTCTTGAAATTCAGAAGTCACTCTTTCCTCCTTGGACGATAGAACGAATTCAGAGGGAAACTGTTGATTATCTGAACATCAACTGGTTGGAGCTTTTGGTTTCTTTTGGTCTGAGTAATGTGGCGGATTCTCAACTTGATTTTCCAATCACTCGTAAGGCTTTTTTGTTTCGTTTCTTTGAGAAGATAGAGAAGGCTCCATTCTCTGACTATGATGTTAATCATATGCTCTTATCTTTCTATATTAAATATGTCAAGCCGTAATTCAAGACATGGAGTTCACAATAGATTGTTGCTTTGAAGGTTTATGCACCTGTTCTGGATGAAGACTTCATAAACATTAAGTTTAAAGGATTCCGAGCAGCAAGTCGTACAGAAGATGAATTCACTCTGGCAGACTTACCATGCATGAATCCGTATGACTGGATTTCATTGTTCTTGCATCTGTCTAAAGATGAAAGACTTATGAGCCAATTGTTGCACACCTGAAGATGATGCTTATCTGCTATATTCACGAGCTTGCCAAAGTGGATGTAGAAATAGCATATGTTTTGAAGAAAAGGCTCGTTCTGAAGCCTGAAGAAGAACTGAAGGACCTCCATAAGCTCAAGCTGGGTAAAATCAGAAAGGAAAATTGGTGTGTGGTGTACCAACAGAAGGAGGGTCAGAAATTTTTGAGAAGCATGTTATTCATGACAAACAAACACTTATACTCCACTGCGCCTCTAAATTCTATCCTTTGATTGACTTAAGCTTGTAAAGGTAATACCGTTGTTGATCAGAAATGTTTCTTAGATATTATCAACTGGTACCTTATGTCAGAAACACCATTCTGAATTGGATGCCGAGATTTTTCAAGGTGCAAAAAAGACAACAGTGATGTTCTCCTTTGGTATTTGACACAAAGAGGGAGATTGTTGGGTTTTAAATGTATTGTGTCAAATGTATGCGCTAGTATAGCCTTATTTACCGGTTTGGTCCTTTCCATTCACAGTTTTGATTTTCTAGGGTTAGACTATTTATAGTGCATGCATCTGTCAATTTAGGTTAACGTTTTGGTCGCCCTACCTAGCTCTCACATAGAAGTTCTTCCTTGAACTCTTATAAAGCTATTCTAATCAAAGCATTCGACACTATTTTGATCTTTGTTCTGGTCATTCAATTCTCATTATTATAGAATCTATTGATCTTATTTATTGTTGTACATGCTAGGTTTTTAAGAACCCTAGCCTCCATCCCTTTGTTTTTAAAAATAAGGGACATGGTTTGGAAACCCTAGCCTTCTTCCCCAAGGTTTTGAAATTGGCAGGGGTTTCTAGAGTTTCCTTATTTGATAATTGTTTATTAGATTAGAAGGAATAATTACAAATTTGTTATCCTTAATTGATTTAATTTATTTAATTGTTAATGATTAAATCATTTATTTTGAATTTAATTAATTGAATATTAATTTCAAATTTTAAAATATAAACCCTAGTATTTTGAAAAAGTTTTTAAAATACACCTTATACTATATGTAAAATTAAAAGTTTAATTATTAATATATGTATAAGACTAAGTCAATCGAACCGCTAGTACACCTCATTCACGAAGCTAGTCTATAAGGGGGTATATGGAAAGTGCCTATAAAATGGTAGTTGGATGGGTGTCCACTCTCACCCACTGCTTCCTTGATTAGTGGAGGATCGTTAGCTGAACAAGTTTGATAGGACAACTAATTCTCATTAATAAGTATAATGCGATTAAAAAGTAACTAAACTGTTTTATTTATATCTCAATCTTAGTTACTTTAGGAAAAATTTGAATTTGTATGCAAACCCATGAGATTACACATTTACTTTATAGTAGTTAGTGGAGCGCATGTGGTTAACTGGAACACTAATAGTGACTATAAAGAGTAATAATAGGCATCTTGAAAATTATTGATAATTAACTGAGCGCGTGTGGTTAACCAAAACCTTAAAATGAGATGATAAATGGCATCGAGAGTGCCAAGCTAATTTGCAGCATTGTTCACATCTTGTTTTTGATCCTCGGTATCCTAATCACAAATAGAAGAGCATAATCTGAGATTAAACATGCCATTGAATAGTTTCAATGAGTCACAAAATATCTAGGAATTTTACTTAACTTAAGTTGCTTTAAATTTTGTTCTTTTATGGTGAAATTGGTAAATTGTCATTTACCTACCTTTATAAAATTTACAATTAGATTACGACATCCCTTTTCTAGGTTGTGAATTTTTTAGTTGGATCCTAGCCTTAATATTTCATTTTGGGTTGTTATATTAAGGATTTCCCTTATCTAACTAAATCTACCTCTCTTTTACTGATGGTTAGAGTGAGCGGACTATCCAGACTTTGTAAGATGTGTTACGGGGATGTGTTATGGATTTTGGTGGTAGCTGTGATACGAATCTTCCTTTGGTGGAATTTTTGTATAACAACAGTTATCACATGAGCATTAATGACCTCTTTTTGAGATGCTCTAGGAGAGGAAGTTAAGGACCCTAATATGTTGGGGGAGGTCAGTGAACAGGTCATGCAGAGTAACAAGGTGGTACTCAAGGCAACGAAACTAATTAACAGGTCCGCGGTAGACTTCGTACAACACAGAGTCGGTAGAGCAGCTATGCAGACAGACGCTGGTCAGGCTTGGAATTTCAGGTTTGAGATATGCTACTCCTGAAGGTGTCACCTTGGAAAGGTGTCATCTGATTCAGGAAGCGGGGCAAGCTGGGCCCTAAGTACATAGGTTATTTTAGGATTTTAGCCCGGGTGGGAAGTGTGGCGTATCGTTTGTATCTGCCAGAAGATCTTAGTCTGATTCATAACACTTTTCATGTCTCTTGGCTACAGAAGTGCTGGTTGATGATTATGTAGTGGTTCCATTGGAGGACATTTAGGTGGATGATCACCTGAATTATATAGAGACCAGTGGTGATCCTTAAAAGGACGACAAAGACTCTACGAAACAAGGTCGTAGATCTTGAGAAGGTGTAGTGGTAGCACCGAAAGGGTCCTGAAGACGAGATGAAGGAGCATTACCCGAAGTTATTTATGGTAGCAGACTTTGAGGACGAAGTCTAATTCAAGTGGGGTAGAATTGCAAAACCCGATTCAAGATACTTTTTATTTTTAACCCTTAGTGTAAATAGTTTGCAAAATTTGTCCCTAGGGGGCATTGTTGCCATTTTCGAAAAATTAGGATTACGCTGGGCGTGCACACCCAGAGGAAAAACCCTAATTTTTCGGGTTTGGATCCTATTTAAGCAACATTATCACCCATGATCCCCTTATTTCTTGGCTACTGTTACCCTTTGAGCCTCATTTCAAAATCCTAACCCTTCTAGAGAAAATTTCACCCTCTTTGTGTGTGTTTAAGTGTGTGTTGGTAGCTTTGAGGAAGAAGAGTTTTAAAGAAGGAACTTTGATCAAGGGAGAGTTTGTAAATCCAAATTTTACTCATCATTTGTAGCTTCATTGAGGTATAAAGCTTGGAATTTGCTTATTGTATGCTTAGATATTGTATTATGGAGTTTTGTTCACTTTTTAGTAACATGAGTGAGATCTAGTGGGTTGTTTCTTCTACTCCAGAAGTCAGGAGTTGCTTTTCTTGATGTTTTTGAAGTCCCTAGTTCATAAAGTTAGCATCGTAATGGTTGAGGATCAACTATTCATGTGTTTATGTCCATTTGGTGAAAGTAGGATGCTAATTTAGGGTTTGAGTTCATTTGAGCCATGCAAAGGCTCCAAGTTAAGGAATTTATATATTAAGACGTCCTTTAAGGAATGGATCTGAAGTTTAGACGTCTGGTTTCAACCATTAAGTGCTTAGTGGCAAAAGATGCTTAATGGGTACATATATTGGGCAAACTCAAGAGTTCGCAAGAGTATACGTCCGACTCCCCGATCAGGTACATTGCCTAGTACGTTGGGCATATATCTGATACACATAGTGTACCAGGCCTAGTCTTCGGGTTTGGGGTTTTGGGCTATAATTGGACTATTAGGGTTTTGGGACTTGTTGGTCCACTAGCCTTTCTAAATTTAGACCATTGTTAGGCTGTGGGCCTTCTTGGCTTTGGGCCCATATTTGGTTTTAGGTAACCTTACTAAATTAGGCCACTATTGGGCTTTTAGTGCCATTAAGTTTGGGCCTCGGGTATTGAGCCAAGTAAGGAAAGGGTAAAATGGACTTTTACCTGGGTGTTGGAACAATGAACTAGATTCCTGATTATAGATCATGACCCAATTATTAATTGGAGTTTTATTTGGTTTTTTAGTGTGGGGATTCTCCGATTCAGTAGCTTGAGCATCTATTGACTGACATGAGACTAAGGTGAGTTTTCTCACTATACTGTAGGACACTAGGATATGTTATGTGCTTGTAGTCTTTGTGACTCATGTTGTATGAGTTGTATGGGTGTGTGACTGTTTGCGATATATATGTGGGGTGAAATATACTAGGTACAACCTTGTATTGACATATGAGTTGAAATAGACTCGGGGGTGAAATGGACCTGGGAGTGAAATAGACCCAACATAGCCTTGAGCTGGTATATGTGTTGAAATTGACTCGTGGGGTGAAATAGACTCGGGGTGAAATAGACCTTGCACATCCTTGAGCTGGCAGATATGTATGGAATGGAGTATTTTGGGGAACTCACTAAGCTTCGTGCTAACAGTTTTCAGTTTATCTTTTAGGTACTTTCGGGTCGAAGGGTAAGAGCTCAGCTTGATTGCATCGCATGCACCATGATTTTACACTTATTAGACTCTGATGTGTTTTTGGATGGTTGTGGATACACTATGATTTCTTGATGGTTTTGATATACCTGTTTGAATGATGTTAAATTTAATATGAAAACAAGAAATTTTGGTTTTGAAATTTGGGACATTACAAGTTGGTATTAGTGCCTTGGTTTGAGGGATTCGAGCATATTTGTGACATCCCTAATTTCACGATCATTTTAAAAAATTTATTTATCCTTATTTAAAAATCAGAGTATCCTTTTAGAAAAGTAGTATTGTGGAATTGGTTCCCACATCGGGATATCATCGTCAATATAGAAACAAAAGCATAAACATCGGGATACCATCGTCAATACAAAAACATAAGCATAAACAGACCTTACATTCGTTTACACTAATGATTTACATCTCCTTTAATCTATCAATGTACTGTATCTTCGCATCAATACCCGTGATTCAAATAAACTGAGTGGATCAAGTTGGGAAACTTGGAAATACATAGGGATTTCA